GAGGACATAGAATTACTTCCACATTCCTTGTGGAAGTAATTAATTCTAAGCAAAACAATACTCATATTATTCCCTACCTGCCCTGACATTTTTAATTTAGTGTATGCATATATTGCCCCCCTCTCCCCATATCCTGTTCTGCTGCTTAGTTGTGGCTGGGGGGTATGTAAAAGGTATTTTTGGGGGGGGGGGGATGAGTGAAGCATGTTGAAGTGTGTATCAAGAAATTTCTAGGAGGGTCAGATGTGAACATCATCCCATCAAATATATATTAAATAGTTCAATCCTGACTGACTCAAGGTTGACAGCCTTCCTACAATGCGGAATGGAGAACTATAAAGGCTAAACATGAAAAACGATATAGAAAGCTGTATAATCACTTTATATTGTTATGTGTGTTTTGTGTTTTGTTTTTTTCTTCTTGTGTTTTGCTTTCTGTTTTTAAAGATTAAAACGTTCAATAAAAACTATTAAAAAAAAAAAAGACTGACAGCCTTCTATCCTTCCAAAATCAGTAAAATGAGGACCCAGGTTGTTGTGGGCAATATGTGGACTCTCTAAATTACTTAGAAAGGGCTGTAAAGCAAGTGGTACATAAGCCTAAATGCTATTGCTATTGCTATTGTGCTGCAGTGATATAGGAAGATGCAAAACATACGATCACTTTCAATTCATACTGTGTGGAAAAAGGCTATGGTAAACCATGCCTGTATTTTTATGAAGAAAACCATATTGATAGAAAATATAAACATCCATGTTTATGCTCCAACCACTGATGCATAGTCTGCTGATATGTGAAATCAACAGAATATGTAAACGAGTTATGCTGCTTGTGACTGGAATACTGAGGTTGGAAACATGAAAGATAATGTAATCTGACTGTATGGCTTAGGAAACTGAAATGAAGACTAATTTATCAATTTCTGCCACTACAATTATACTTAAAGCTCAGACTGTCTTCAAACAACCAAAACATCATCTTTGTACACAGACATTACTAGAATGAATGCATAGAAATTAAATTCACTAGGCATTCATTGATGTTGATTGTGGGAATCTGGCAAGGAAAATTGCAAATCATGATTACACAACCATGGGATTCTGCTGTCAGATTAGTGGGGTGGGGAAGGAATGGGTTTTTTGCAGTAACCTTCCCCCAAGAGTGGGGAGGGAATGGGGATTTTGCAGTATCCTTCCTTGACCATACCCACAAAGCCACACCCACCAAGCAATACCATGCCCACCAAGCCACACCCACAGAACCGGTAGTAAAAAATATTGAATCCCACCACTGGCTATCTTAATTTACTTACTGACAAAAAGAGGGCTTAAGTATATACATGTTCTATAACTTAACCTCCCAGGGTGTAACTCTGGGAGAATCCAACTTTTTTACTGCTTGTGGCCATTTTTATATTCAGTGCAATATACCTGGTTCTAGTTTCTTAAATGCTTTAAACCAATTTTGTAGATGTGTTCGTTTATGTTTTGAATGATTATGAAATAGCTCTTGTATATGTTTGCTGAGAGAGATTTGCTTTGGGAATAAGTAATGATGACGCAGAAGGCAGAATACAGAAGCTCCAATTAAATATTTTGCTTTGCTTCTTTGGTCTAGACAGCAATCAGGGTACAAGAGTAACCATAGTAGGCTATTCCGTATTTCCATTTACTCGTATTATAAAAAGCCAAATTTAGGAGAGGCAGTTCTGCCATGCACACAAGATTAAACATATTTTTGGTTGACTTTCATTATTTTGAGCATTCTCAAAGCTGATTTTTTTTTTTGGGGGGGGGGTACAATGTAGTTGTGAAGCTAAGAGATCCTGATATGTGCTGGGAACATGTCCTAGGCCTATGTCACAAGTTCTTAACTTCATTTTAGACTGGGTCTTAAAGAATAGTAGAAGTCAACTAGGATATTTAAATAGAAGAACATGCTATGTTTTTAAAATTTATTCATCCCAATGTGTGAAAGATTTAAGCTGGCATATATCAAAAATAAATTGAGAAAAAGTATAACTTCTTCTAATTTTTAAATGCTTTTAGCTTCTCGATTAAAAACACTGTTCTATGAAAAGCAGGGTTGCTTAGGATTTAGACAAGATACCAAAAACTTATCATGGTCCAACATCAGATGATGTTCCTTCTAATTTATAGGATGCTAAGGAACCAATTAACAAACTTGATTTAAACAAGGTGTATTTTACTGTTTCAAAGAGAAAATAATAAATGATATAAAACAAGCATGCCACCTTCAAATCTGCCAGATGAAATCAATATAGTACATTTGATAAAGTCATTATCTGAAAGCAGATTTTATATACTGCACATATGTGGGGTTGAAAAGCCATCTTGTTTTCAGAGGGCCGCAAAACTTGTTGCAGCAGACTCCTACCTAATATTAACCAATGGCTAACTGCCATCATTAATACACAGACTCGAAATAATAACACAATCAAGGAATAGTCTGTTTCTCATTTTACCTAGGAAGCCCCCACATTTCCCATGCAGCAGTCACTGTCAGCCATTAACCATGTAGCAGCACTTAGACTGGTTTGTAATCCAATTTAGACTCCAGCTTCTTGGAATCAGCAACTTTCCTAACTGCCTTCATGAAGTCTTCCTGAACTACAAAGTCATGATCAGCACGAATAGCAAACATGCCTGCAAAAAGACAGTGTGGAAAAACATATATTTATTGGAAACAGCAGGGATTCAAACCAGACTCTGCACAATAGGTAAGATTTCTTTTGTGAACCAGAGGAGATGGAGATATAATAACTACATAGAACTGCTCCTCATTCCAGGCTACTACATTACTGTGCCAAATTTTACAACCCTTTATGCGCCCGTATTAAAATGAATTGGTGCAGCTGTTAAGCAAACACAGCAGTTAAGTATCTTATTGTCCGCAATGGGTGTTTTTTTAAAAAAATCAGAAATTAGAAGTAAATGCTAGTTCCTGATATTATGATCATGTGACCGGGGGATGCTGCAAATGGCCATAAATGTGGGCTGGTTGTTGTGCACCCAAACTGTGATCCCATGACTGCAGGGGTGGCGATAACCATTGGTTCTTCAGACCTGGGGAGGTCTGCCAGAACTTTTAATGGTCACTAAGCAATTGATCATAAGTTGAGTACTACTGTAAGGTTTATTTTAAATTATTACACATCTTTGATTTAACTCACACCAGGTTTGGCATGGCAAGTTGAGGACTTCATTCCACAAGTGCTGGGACTAAACCCACCTTGAGAGAGGCTTTCAAGAGTTTGAAAGAGTTCAACCTGCAGTTTTAAATATCTATTTTTAGCCCTTAAACCACTCAAGCCAAAGAAATACAAAAAAAATCTCACCCACCAGGTGTGCATGTGTGCATGCACTGGCAGCCACACAAGAGAGAATCGGATCCCACAAGTAGTCCCTGGACACTTTTATGTGCCCTATGTTAAACTAAGAACTAAGGAAAATAGAAAGAATTCATTACCTGCTTCAGTACAGACATTTCTTAGGTCAGCACCATTAAATCCATCGGAAAGCTTCACAATTGCTTCATAGTCTAATAGTAAGAGTCAAATTGCTAGGTTAATCAGAACTGTGACCCAAAAATACTAAAGAATCTCTGGATCTTTTCACTATCAAGCTTCAGTGGAATGAGCAAGCAAATCAAGGCTTCTGATGCTGACTGGAGTACCGCAATTTTAGAGCTATACAATAATCTGGGAACGCTGTTTTGAAAAAGTTGAAGATTCTTCAAACCTCCCCTTGCAAGTTCATATTTACAATAGGCTGTTTTGAAGTGTACTAGACAATTTCCAAAAGTAAGATGAATACAATTCTGGAGCAGGGGCAACCCATGGAGCATTTCTAAATTGCTAAGCCTCAACCCCTACTATAAAGTAGGGCCTACTTTATAGATTATGCTGTTCTAAACCTCCAGGAGGAAAAGGAAATTATATTAAATAAATAAATAAATAAATAAATAAATACAGTATGTAAATGTTTCACAATAAAATAAAGGATTATATTTGAAAAAGCTATTGCATGACTGACAATTTCTGCCCCAAACAGTCCAAAAATTTACAATGAATTGCATTAAATATTTATGTACTGAACAGGAACTGTATAAAACAATGTCTTAAGATGCAAAAATGGTCTTGGGAACTTACCTATTTCTCCATGTTTAGTTATAGGTCCAGCATGGATTTTCAGGATGTCTAACCTAGCTTGTTCATTTGGCAAATCAATATCTAGGTGAAAAGAGTGGTTTTTTTCCCAATTACCAATTTTGCTTGCATACCAAACAAAGCCAAAGGCTTATGCTGGTATACTGAGTTTACTCACGAATCTTCCTGTCCAATCTTCCAGGTCGCAACAATGCTGGATCTAGAGTATCTGGTCTGTTTGTAGCCATTATCATTTTGACTCTGTGTAAAGTATCAAATCCATCCATCTGATTCAATAACTGAAAAATATTGCAAGGAAGCATAGGCTTTAGTGAATGTTGGCATTTTTCCACCAAGAAGTTGATTCCAACAAAACAATTAAGAAAAATGTATTGACAGTTGTTGTTTTGGACAGCATTTGTCACATTTCAGAAACACAGGACTTGGGATACCAAGACACAACCTTAGAATCCACAAGAATTTTAATTCTCGGTTAGAAAGAGCATTTATGAAAGTTGCAATTTTTGCAAAAATGAAAATGTGAGCTTGGTCCTCTGGCCAGAGAAGTTGTCAATAGGAATTTTATATAAAGAACATTTAATTTAAGAAGTTTTGATTTACCAAGTGAAAGAAAAGTTTCTCTCTTGTAAGATACAAAGCCCAGATACATCGTAATTTTAACAAGTTACTTAATCATATCTCCATTTATATAACTGGACAATATAAAGCCACCATTTTATTCAAAATAAAAAGTAACAGCACACCCAATACAGTATAAAAAAAATCAAACCAATCTCAATATTTCACTTTTGGGTTGACTACCTAAAACTAGTGTTTGAAAGATACCAGACTTAACATATATAAGTTTTACCTCCATTAAAGTTCTCTGGATCTCTCTGTCAGCTGAAGTTCCCTCAGAAAAACGGCGACCACCTCAAGAAAAGAGCATGGAAGAGTAGTTAGTATCTCACCAAGCAGAACTTTCGACATAAGGTTTTATTTATAATATAGCCAAATATAAAATAATATCCAGTATTTCCAAAAATGTCTGATGATAGCTGACTTACATAGGCATTAAGATTTAAAAGGTATTTGCCCAAAGAATAAACCAGTTTTAATTACAGCTCCCCTCCCTCCTTTGATACGAAAGCCTGATGGGTGAGTTGGGACTTCTGTCTCAGCCCAACCCACCTCACAGAGTTGTTGTCTCAAATGGAGGAGAAAGGAGAATTAGATATGTTGGCCGTCTTGAGCTATTTATAAAAATAATAAATGCAGGTTAAAAATAAAATAAATAGTATCATGGAATTTTTGCTGAAGAAAGAAGCTCAATGCTATGAGGAGAAATAATCAAACTTTATTGTGTGCCAGTTTTCCAAGACAGAAAGAGAGAGAGGGATAGGCCCAGAGCAACAATAGAAAGATTGTTATATACTTGGTGGATCAGAGGTGGGAAATCCAAAGGATTTGATTCACGGGCTGTTTTTTTGAGGAAGTGAGGCAGGTGTTAGGCAGGGGCGGAAAGGCTGTTCTGTTGTTAAAACTAAAATCACACCTCTGTAACAAATGGAATTTTGAGACAGCCAGGCGCCCATTCGTGGTTATGACGGGCTCCATCATTAGATGAGCCCTTGGTTGGGATGGGTGAGAGCTTTCTTCCCATATGCAAATAGAGGCAGCAGGAACAGCAAAGAGAAAGTGCTTGCAACAGGAGATAGAAGAGGGGGCGGGAATGGGGAGGACAGAAAGAAGAGACAAAGAAAAAGGTGGTGGGAGAGTTTGGAGAAGTGTTTGCAGCTTTACTATTTTTCCATCACAATGCATTCGTCAGTTATGTTCCAGAATGGATGCTGATAGCATACTGTAGTAACATATTAGACTTTAAGGGTCACAGATCTTTGGTATAGTGCAGTGATGGCTAACCTTTTTGTCATCACGTGCCAAAACAGTGTGCACGCGTGCAACAGCGCGCGTGTGCATGCCCACATCCATAATGCAATGTGTATGTGACACCTCCCCGCGCCCCATCCCTGCACATGCATGTGCGCCCCAACACATAACTGTGTGCGACCCCCCCCCCCACACACTATCCCATTTTGGGCCTAGCAGGCCTCCGTGAAACCTCCTGGGACCAAAAACGGGGCACAGGAGGAATCGCTGCACCAACCCGCCTCCTGTTTTGAGCTGGGGTGACAGCTCATGTGCCCAGAGAGAGGGCTCCGCACGCCACCTGTGGCACAAGTGCCATAGGTTCGCCATCACTCATATAGTGAGATGAGTAGTTACATTGTTGACATTTTTCACTTTCAACTCCTGCTAACTTCACTTTCCTGTTCCAGTCTTAAAATTGCAGGAACACAGCAGTTCTTTGAGCAGCTAATTTAAAAAAAAAAAACAGTCTTCAGATTTTAAGAAGACTGCATCCTTACCAATAGCATCAATTTCATCCATGAAGATGATACAGGGCTGATGATCCCTGGCATAGTTGAACATTTCTCTGATCAGCCGAGCGCTTTCCCCGATGTATTTGTCTACAATGGAACTAGATACAACCTGTGAAAAAATTATCAATATGTGATGCTTGAAAGTAAAAAAAAAATTTGGGCTAAGGATTCAGGAAAAAAACCATTATTTTACCTTTAGGAAATTGCAGTCTAGCTGACTGGCAACAGCTCTAGCCAGGAGAGTCTTCCCTGTTCCTGAAATGACAATATATCAAAGACGATTCAAGAAGTAAAGAATCAACACGACAGACATATATTTGTGGTTACATGGTGAAGCACTACAGTGCACAGACCTTCAAGGGCCTGGCTTCATCCATTGGTGGCATGTTGGGGCTGAACTCGTAAAGTGGATAAGGCCATTTTAATTACCCATAATTAATCTGATTATTCAACCAATTTGTTTTTAACAATTTCCCCCTTTAACTCAATTAAAATTTACAAGCCAGCAATTTCTGCTGGGGATGGCACTCTTACTGAAATGAAATATGGGAGAGATTTGGGAAACCTGGAGTGCCCTTTAACCAAAAAGTGCATTTCTAACTGCCTTTCTCATGAGACAGGAGTATGATATTAAATCTCATAAAAGAAATCACAAAATAAAACTATTCTTCCAAAAAGGATTTTAAAAGCTCTAAATAAAATACACAACTGTATAGGACTGGAACAATCCTAAGTACCCAAATATCCAAAATAAATTCCTTCCAAGAAAAAGCTTCAGTATTCAAACAGCTCTATTTCAATCTTTTTTTTCTTCTGGCATCTGCCCTAAGTCTATTTCATTTTTTTTAATCCTAATTCAGAATAAAAGGGATAAGGCCATATGCTCGAAATAAATAGACCACGGGGCTTCCAGATAGAATAATACCCCTCACAGTTTGCATTTGGTACATTCTGAACCAAATCGGATTATATATTTCTTTGTGAAATTGCCTACAATATGTATGAGGGAAGGGGATGATAGTTGAGCATTTATGCCAGACTCTGAAGACACATTAACTTAATTCTGTCTTTATCGTCCAGGATCTTCTCAGAATTTGTAATCTTACACTTGGACTTGACAGCATAGAAAACATCTATTTGCGCATGAAGAAAGAATGTGTAATTGAGCTGGTCTGAAAATAAATATCCCACATGATCTACCTCTTTGCTTTGGCATAGGAGATAGCCATACAAACTTATTAAAGTGAACCTACCTGGTGGGCCATACAGCAAGCAGCCTTTGGGAGGTATAATCCCCACACGTTGGAATAATTCTGGATTTGTCAGGGGTAACTCTATAACCTGCAAAGATGAAAATCTGTTTTGTGCTCAAGTGATTCAATGTGCACCAGAAGTCACAAACTTTGTGTCATTTATACAATCACCCTTCTAAAACTCTCAAAAGGGTCTGTAGTCTTCTACACTTAGATAGATTTCTTTGAAACAAACTCACTGCATTGTGAAGTTTGGTTAAAACTTCTAAGCAGTTCTACTTATGTATTTTCCTGATATTCTGCAATGGGCATCTAATTGATACCGCAGAGTCAAAAATATTTTCCTCTTACAAAGATGTGGAGACTCTAGAAAGAGTGCAGAGAAGAGCAACAAAGATGATTAGGGAACAAGAGGCTAAAACATATGAAGAACGGTTGCAGGAATTGGCTATGTCTAGTTTAATGAAAAGAAGGACTGGGGAGACATGATAGCAGTGTTCCAGGGGCTGCCACAAAGAAGAGGAAGTCAAGCTATTCTCCAAAGCACCTGAGGGTAGGACAAGAAGCAATGGGTGGAAACGAATCAAGAAGAGAAGCAACTTCGAATTAAGCAGAAATTTCCTGACAGAACAATTAATCAGTAGAACAACTTGCCTCCAGAAGTTGTGAATACTCCAATACTGGAAGTTTTAAAGAAGATGTTGGATAACCATTTGTCTGAAGTGGTGTAGAGTTTCCTGCCTAAGCAGGGAGTTGTACTAGAAGACCTTCAAGGTCCCTTCCAACTCTGTTATTCTAGAAGATATGAGTAGCTTAGCCATAACTAATATACAGACTGGTATAAGAAAAGGACACGTACCTCTCTTAGTTCCCTGATTTGTTCTGACAATCCACCAATCTCAGAATAAGATACATCTCCAGGATCTTCATGAGACATGTTGTAAACAAGTGGATCAACCTCTCTTGGCAAATATCTAAATAAGTGAAGCAATTCCAGTTAGCAATTCCAGAAGCAATTCCAATTCCATTCAGATGATTCTGCACCAGTGGATTTTTTTTTTTTAAAGTAATTTCCCAATAATATTTTTCCTGCCCAATGAAGACAAAAAAGTTACTAAGTTCTATAATGGTCTCCCAGAAGGTTTGTTAAGAAGCCACATAAAACTTAAGTGTAAGTGCTACTTGCACAAAAGGGAAGAATCCTAAGCAAAGCCTTTGGCTCATATTTCCTCCTCCCCCTTCCTTCCCGTATAATGAAGAAATGGATGTTGCTTTTCATCCTTTTGATTTCTCTCACCTCCAATCTAAATATATGAAGGCAAGATTTTACCTCATAATTGTTAAGGTGGTCATATCCAACGCAACTCTTGTCCCGGGTTTTAATTTGCTTTTATCAAGCTGGAGGCAAAAAAGGCAATTATTAAATTTGCAGCAGCATTATGCCAAAGATATGTTCAACCAGGAAATATTCACTTTGTATTACTATAGTGTTTTGGGGGACAGGAGGGAGGACCCAAATATATATTCAAAGGAGTACGTATGATAATGAATAAAAGCACAAGAAAGCCCATTCACATAATAGCAAACAACAATCAAAGTTGAAAATGTGCTGCTCGTACAAGGTCGATGACTCTTTTTCCACAGCAGGTGGATGTATTGTAGGCTGGACAATTTTCACACATCCATCCTATGCCTGCAAAAATAAATTAGGCATTGGGAGTTGCTTAAGTAGGACACCAAGCCACAACTTAGTGGCTACAACTTTAAATTCTATTTTGAGAAACCAACTCATAAACAAGATCTAGGTAGTCCTCAGTTTACAACCCTATTTAAAACTGGCAACTCTACCACTAAGCAAAGCAGTCGCTATATACGACCACAATTGTGTTTTTCAACTGGAAAGAGACAGGACTAGTCAGTTTCACACTTTTGGCTTTCGTTTGCCTTCTAACCACTCCTCCACTCCTTGGAATGCTGGAGCCCATACTTATTATCTTGTATATGTTGAAAGCAATATAATCATGCTAGCAGCCCAAAGTTGGGAGCCATGGGTGTGATACACAAACATCTTACTCTCTTGAAATCCCTCTCAACAATCTGTCTGCGTGAAGTAGGAGGGAAGGGTCAGGCAAAGGAGAAATTGACTATAGAAACCATTTGCTTTCTTTCTCCTTCCTCACCCTCCCAAGAAAGTGGAGAAAGAGATTTCAAGAAAGTAAGCTGTTCACTTTATCAAAAGCAATGCGATCACGCCAGCTATGGGAAAAGGTCAGACAAAGGAGAGTCTTACAGAAATTTATTTATTTTTCACACACCCTCCCAATAGAGCAGAGATTGGAGAGAGAGAGATTTCAAGATAGTACTATTTGTAAAAACATGTCTATGGCTCCCAGCTCTAGATTGCCAGCATGACTGCATTGTTTTCAATGTATAGAACAGTAAAGCTGCCAGGGGAAAAAGAAAAAAACATAGCTCAAGCACAGGACTAATTGTAATGATGATCATGGGACTGAGGACACTATGAAGATCAAATGGGTTGTAAAGTCATTTCGTGAGCACTATTGTAACTTCAAACAGTCACTGAACAAATGTTTAGTAAGCAACTACTACTCGTACTCACCTGACGACGACAGCCAACTACATATCTTGGCCCATTTGTTGCTTTGACGATGACTAGGAGTAGCAAAGAAAAGCAGGTGAGTGCATATTATTCAACCATGATTTGAATAGCCAAATAAAAACCAAAACCCGCAACCAGAAATTTTAAAATAACAGTTACATGCCATTATAATTATGCTACTCATGCTTCAAATCCAAGTTATTTTAATTTTGATAGAAAAGTAATAAAATGGTATGACCATGTACTTACATTTCTCTTCTGTTAATTGTTTAAGAACCTCACCGACAATCTGTTTTTAAAGGAAATGGAAAAATATACTGTTACTATACCGGTAATCTCCCTGCCTGCCTGTTTGAATTTCTGAAATGTGTAAGATCACTTGGCCTTGATATAAAGTCAGGATGCCATTGGTGACCATCATACACAATTAGTCAGTGAAACAATCAGTTTCACTGTACAAGATAATTCACAATCAATCTTGTGAAAAGGCAACAAAGTTTTAGTTGGAACAGGATATCATTCGTTGCTGGATTTAAGGCAATAACTTTTCTGGAGAATGTATGAGCACTTCTTCCACGAACAGCTAAGGAATCCTCCCCGAATTCGGGGGGGGGGGGGGTTGTTAACCCATTTAAAACACACAATGTTGACATTTGTTCCTTGACAAACAGCCAATCATAATTCTCAGAAAATTTGCTTTCCTACAGCGGTCCCCAACCTTTGCGCCTTGGCACCCCTGCTTGGGGGAG